TAATATATATTAGGCTTACTAATATATATTATTATAAATATAAATTATTATATAATAATGTGTATTATTATTAAATATATATTAATTTTAATAATTTAAATCTTATTAAATATGACTTTTCGACTATATTAAGCTTTGATATGTACAACGCGGGTCAAAAGTCTGTGTACACTTCCCGTTTCCCCACCAAAAATAGCCAAAACTTAACATTTTGAAAATAGTATAACTAAATAAATTTATACTATAATATATTCACTAAATAAAGTATAATTAAAATAAAATAGCTTAATTTTAATATATTACTAAAATAGTATTAATTATACTTAGTTTAAAAAAGTGGTTAAGGCTTAAAGTTAAAGGTAGGTTAAATTTTAAATATATATTATGGGCGCCCGTCCCGGCCCCATATAAAAAAGTGCTAAGAAATTATAAAAAAGCCTTTATATTTTTTTTAAAAATTATAACTTCTTACCAGCTATATTAAAAATATAGTATATATTTTTATAATATTAATTAATAGTACTAGCTTTTAATAAAATATAAAAAAAATATATTATAATATAAATTTATTTAAATATAATAAATTTAAAAAAAGTGTACCTTTTTACTTTTTTCTTAATAACTTAAAATATATAAAATGTTTTTTATTTATTTTTATTTAATAACATATTATAACTTTTACACCTTATATAACTTTTGAAATAATTTTAATATCTTTTGAATTAGTGGAGTTATTAATATTTTAAGTATTAGTAAAAAAATGTGTACACAGACTTTTGACCTATCAGTTTATCAGCCGGCGGATACAAACGTGGGCGTGCTGATACGGTATCACAACCCCCCCAAGCGCCTGCATGGTGCTAACACCTGGCCTTACTGCTCATCCTAAAAACAGGCAAATAATGACGAAGGACATGCATTTCACCTAGGTACAACGAGTTATCTAACGGATATGGCTATATAGCATAAACCTCAAAACAACCTACAGCTAATAGTCTCAGAAGAAGTTGAGATACCAGGTTAGGATTAATTCAGTTCTCCTAACACCCAAAGCCTGCAGTAGCACTGAAACATCAATGAAAGCGTGAAGCAATCAAAGCCCCTCAATCCTCTCATTCAAATGCGCAAAGAACGTCCTCTTCTGAGCAACAACCTCCTCCAACTCCCCCAATCCCTCCGTAAGGTCCGCATAAAACCGCACAAGCACTCGACACTGCGCATTCAACCGTCGAAGCCTGGTACTAACCGCATACGCCTGACGCGCGTCCAGCGCATCGTCCACAAGCCCCTGCCGCATCGCACGCGAGCTCGCTACAATCCGAGACATCGCCCGCCGTGCTATGGACACCGCGCGGTCTACCCGGCCCATCATTAGGCTGTCTTCAATAAGCTCGTTGTAGATCCGGTCGCGCATCTCACGCAATTCAATCGGCGGGGCGTCGGGGTACGGGGGTTCGCCCGGGTCCCAGTTCGTCGGGATGGCAACTGGTTGCGGTTGTCTTTCCCACCGCCGTGGTACGGGGTCACTGCCTAACGCCGCGCGTAGGAGTGCTGCGCGTCGGACATCGTTGGGGCCTGGGGGGCGCATGCCCCGGCCAGTTGGACTTACAGGTGCAGGGGTCGTTGGCCTTGTGGGTATAGGTGTAGGCGCGGGGGCGGGCGTTTCGTCAGGCGGCGTGATTAGGATGCGGATTTCCCTGTGCTCCGGGGCCTCGGGGAGCTCTTGGACTGGGAGGTACTCTGCCGGATCGTAGGGGCGAGGGGTCCCGTCATCTTCCATCGGGGGTCCTAGGTCAGCGGGGGAGAAGCGGGTGTTGAGTGTGTTTACGTACTGCAAGGAGCGGACCTGCGGGGTGATGTAGCGTGGATGCCGGGCGAAGCAGATTTGTTGGGCGAACGTGCCGCATTGGAGGCACTCGTAGCTTTGGAGCATGATGTCTCTTGTTCCTTCAGGCCTGCTGAAGGTAGTGGTATAATTGGATGAATGGGTTTGGATTCGGTGTCTTGGATGGGATTTCGAGGGCGTGTTTAAGTACCTACGGCGATTTATACCACGATCTTTCATTGTTTCATGTTGGTAGATACAAAGGGTGTCAAAGCATTCTGGACAATGAAAGACAAAGGAGCATTCAAGAGGAGCACGCTTTGTGTACCGTACGCCTGTCAGTGTTCTAGGCCCCAATCATGGTATAGTGGTTTATCTTGCTCTTTATGAGGGTTCCTGTCCACATGAAACACTAGAAGACGCCCTGTAATCCTAGAGACAGGTTCGAAGACTGGAATGCTCATAACTGGAACGTGGTAGGCAAACAACACTCAAACGTACCAGCGGTCAACATCGGCGTTTATACTACCATATCGAAGTATTCAAGCATATTTAACCTAGCTACGTAGTTTGTACCCGGAATAATGGAATAAGCATACAGAGCCATCCCGCTCAGCATCTTACAAATACCTATCTTCGAATTCTAGTTATCATGGCTCGAATTCGAATTTGTGCGGATCCTTGGTGCTGCCACGGCGGAACTTCCCTCGCCACTGGATGAACATGAGAAGATTAACCCCCATTGAAAGGTTAGCGTGGAAGTATTAAGTTGATATGGTATTTAAGGTAAATCAGCGCCCAAAGGCCTAGCAGCAGTTAACTAACAAGGAGCCTGACCCAGTATCCCAGCCCTAAAATATCAATCACGGAGTGAACACGGGCAATCTTCACACGATCCTAACTAGATTATAGAATCGACTGATCTTGGAGATACCGGACCAGGCACCCTACATCTTTCAACTGGATCTGCAGTCCTTGCATCCGCGCATACAAAGATTCAATCGCCTTCCCTAACAACGCACCTTAGCTCTATAGCCTTGATTGAACACCGACGATGTTTACCCGTCGCCCCATACCTCTCGAAACACAGAGGGGAAGTGAAAGGCAAATCAACATTATCCTCATCAATGTAGTAACGTCCGGTGAGATGACGGACAACATCAACACGCCGTCAGGGACTATCTAAAACTTTGGACCGACTTGATTCATGGGCCTTTGTAAACAGCATGCCTGAGCTGAAAGGACTTTCATTACATAGATAATTTAGTTTGTCCCGAAAGCGATGAGGACCGCAAGCACCGTATAGTCATGGCGCGGTTTGCAGAATCGCCATTTTCACCACTTTTTGTAACTGGTCCATATACTGTGGGAATCGAAAAATCTCAACGGGCAGCCGAAACATGTCTATAAACTGATTTGCAGTAAGGCTGCCTCTACTGTAGATTTCTAGGTGAGCATCAAATAGGTCTGGAGAAGCCTAAGTCATCGGGCAATGGGACTCGTATATGACTAGATTATCACGGTGTCTCAGACCCTTGGTTATGAATAAATGAACAAATGAAATTGATATTAAATGATGGTGATATGTTCAATACTGAACATAAATCCAGGGAAAACACAATAAACAGCTGCGCTCAGCGAGTACCGGACAGCCATCTCCACACACTGCAGGTACGAGATTAAGGAGAACACCTCTCCTCAAAATCCCGGAACACCTTCTCCAGGATCTCCAACTCCTCTTCCATGCAACACAAGCCATTCTCCAACTGCCTCTTCAACCCCGTGGCGTTGTCCAGGTCGAGAGCTAGTTTGGCCTCCCGGCGCTCCACCGACTCAAGAGACACCAGTGCTTCCCAGGGCATGTCTCCCCCGGGAGGACGGCTGAGAAGATCCTTCTCGAACTTCTGCTGCTCGAGTGTGACTTTTATAATTCTTTCTTGTCGAGCAATGTCTTTTGAAGTCTTTTGGATCTTTGACCTCACTTCGGCAAGATCCTCTGTCAGTTTATCAAGCATCTTGCGATCGGCGATAGCGATATCTTCTGGGGTAGGACCAGGAGAAACTCGACTGGATGATGATAAACTGGTGAAAGCGCCGGAGATGGAATCCATGCTGATTGAGGTATTAGAGTCGGGCTTGTCCATGTGGTCTTCTTTGGAGACTATCATGCACGCGTGGCGGGACAAGCAGGTTGGCTTCACCACGCCGCAACGCATGCATTCAGAATCCGAGTAAAGCATATAGGGTTCCATGATTGGTTGTTTTGCTGGTGACTGAGATTCTTGTTGGATTTGAGATTTCCTCGGTCCAATAATAGGTTGACAATCGGAATGATGGTCTGAGCAATGTACCTGAAGACGACCCACGGCGTATTTTATGCCCACGCCGCCATTGTTCCGCTGCCTTCCTCAGGGTTTATCAAGGAGGTTATTGGATTGTCTCTTTATGCAGACAATGCATGTTACAATGGTCTTTGTTAATCATTTGAGCACTGCCTGGAACTCTTGACAAAGCAACTGTTCGTTTTGTTTAGACATATGGGACACTTTCAAGCAAGTTCTTTCAATGTGCAGACGTCCTGATGCATAGGCACCACAAACTAAAAAGCATTATACCATGCAATTATCGCATTACGATTATTAAGCATACATGCAGTTGCCTTGGTACTCTTTGTTTTGAAACATATCACCATAGCATTCATCGGTTTGTTGAGACCGCTCCATAGCCAGGTAGGTTCCAGCGGATCTATTCTGCTGATGTGAACACAATCGCACCAAAGGTCCACTAGAAAGACTTTCTTAAGGTTAGTTAACCTGAACTCTTGCCGCCCAACTAGGTAGGCTCTGCATTACACATGCCTAAGCACCTACGTGGGCATTTAGAGTTGGTCAGGCCGCCAGCATCGCAGAGACCAGAGGGTTATCAGCAGAAAGCTTCATTAACCTGAAGCACAGAATGAGCAGGAGGTACAATAAGAACCTATATCTCGATTCTAAAGTGTGCTGGTGGAATATTGTCCATATTACAGATTGGGGCCGCAATATTTATCCATTCATACAATAAACAGCGGAAGCAACTGAAGATGTATATCCAAGTATAAACCGCAGTAAGCCACAAACCACAAGACCCTCGACGTGCTGAAAACCGAGGCCGAAACCACGGAATGAAAAGCTCATTTTCCCGGTAAATACCGCAAGTAAATCGTCTCCCTCTACTTCAAAAATCTCTTCACGACGGGGTGTCTCGGCGGACTCTGCTTTGGTCGAGTGGACGGTTGGATTGGATAGGGCAGCCGCGAGGGCTGCAGGTGGGTTTCTATCCCTCGAGGTTATTGTCGCCATGATACCTTTTGGTTAGGGTATTTTGTATACGGGACAATGAGTATGGTCACAATGCTCTTTAACAACCAATAGTAGTGATTCCACGGCCTTTTATTTGGTGAGCAAAAGGTTGTTGTGGGCATATATTTATATCCATGCAAGTTGAATGATTCGTTGAGTACATGAGCATTTCAAAGCCAGGTCTTTGCAGTAGCTTCCACCGGCGCTCTTTGCGGCCTGGGCCTCTCCCCATCAATAATGTCAGGGGAAGTAAAGAAAAAGGTCTTCTGCCTGTTCTGTGTGGACGGTGGAAAGGACTGCATGCAGCATCACCTTTTCTCCTATACAAGCACGAAAGTCTCGATAGGATAGTACTATTACCATGGTGTTGCTTGTTTACTACACTCAAGGCCTTCAGAATCATGTTTCACGCTCTTAACTACTACATGTATTATGCTGCTTTACTGCTGGGGTGTGGTCAACCAGTGCCCTGAGTTGAACCCTGGAAATTAAGATATTATTTAAAGTAGTTAAGCCTCTACATTTGCATCAAGAGGTAGGAAAAACCCAGCATAAGATTATATCCAGGAGAAAAACCCAACCCAAGGCTTTAACAGCGGGACATCTTGTTCTCCCAATAATACCTGGAACGAAAAGCAAATAACATGATATTTGTCAACAGCTTCTGACCCTTACTTCTTCCGGCACTATTCGCAGTCTATGAGCGACTGTGTGCGTTCTTCGAGAATGAGCCACTTACATAACCCCAGCATCCTGGGCAGTCGGAAGTGCAGTCAAGGAGTGGACAGCAGTCAAGTCCAATCGACGGATTGCAGCGCAGTCCAGTTCTATCCTGGCAGGTAATTACAGGTGTGTCCTCATATATGGAGCCCAACTGCTCCTCAAAGTGTCTGGCACCCAGAGCTAAAGCTGTGAATAGAAGGATCGCGACAAGCTTCATAGTGAGGTAGTCAACTGAGATAATGGGTGCTTTATTGATGGAAAGGATAAGTTGCAATGATGAACATTTGGTTCTTTAGCTGAGACATAGTATCTCCTTTATATGTTTTGGATTCGGGATAAATACTTATGTCATAGACGAGTCTTGTCTAGAATGAGCTTGTCATCTATCTTCACCTATGATTCCTTGACTCGTGCCGTGGCCGCGACATAAGTCAGCGGACATTAAAAAAAGTCTATCTTTCTATTTCAGAAACATGAAATTCTCTGCCACTTGTTACCAACCAAATGGGGTACGTATTTTGCCTGCTCTAGGAGCAGTAGGCCTCAAGATGAACCCGCCGCCTCCAGGAATTTTCCACTTTCACTGAGGCTGCAACTCCTCATTATGGGCACATAATTCCAAAAGCTGCTCAGGGACGGGAATCCAGAGGATCCGCCCGGCCTGGTCACTGCAAGCATAAGCAGCTTGACGTCAAATATGTCATCGCTATCTATCTTGGAGGAGGCTTGGTGTGCGGGGATACGAGGTGAAGCCATTCAGCTCTGAGCCTTTAGACACAGCAACCTGAGAGCTTTAGAAGAATATAGCTAGGAATGCAATTGGCTCACTTGGTTGAAACATGTTGAATCCTGGTGTTTCTGCCTATGACATCCACCTCCTAATTAGGCACCTGATGAGCCTGTCACCGATACATTGGCTCCCTGCGCCCCATACCCTTCTAACGTCCCTAGCCTAGTATACCTTATTATACAGTCCAGCAAAGTCTTCTGACCTTTTATAATACCTTTTGCTCGAGTGGTATCTAGAAGCCCTGAGATTTCACAACAAAATAAGCTCAATGTTTTTCCATCCCACGTGTACTTTAGGGGTCTACTATGGTACTCGTTATGCTCAGCGTGAAGAGCATACATCTTCCGGTGCAGAATGACTGATGGGAAGATCCGGCCTAACTTTATGCATTGGAGATCCCTACGCTTAACAAGCTCTTGTTGGCGGAGTACAGCACACTTGCGGACGTACAGTTGCCCACTTTTACTTACACTCTTGTTCATATAATCCACGCTGATACCACCCGTCAACGCATTACCTGAACACTTTGATAAATGGCAGCAATGCGACCATAAGAGTGGAGGAGTTACATTCTAACAAGGGAGGTGGAAGGTACTAATAGGAATAAACAGTTACTATATGTAAAAGTCTCTTGTATTACTTGGTGTACTAAGCTAGATATTTTAAAAATAAATAAAAAGTTTTATAGGTAGCTATTTAAGCTAAAATAACCTTTTTTTACTAAAGTTTTAAGGCCGCTAGTAGCCTTAAGTACTTATTTTTAATATTTTTTTTTATTTATATTAAAAACTTTTTTAAGTTAGTAAGCTATAGGCTACTAGTATAAAAAAGTTTTTTTTAAATTAATAAGTTATAAGCTATTAGTATTAAAAAATTTTTTTTTTAAAAGTATAATTTATAAGTAAGTATTAAAAAGCTAGTAATTAAAATAATAAAAATAATAAGTATTAATAAAAGCTTTAGGTATTAATAAACTAAAATAGTCCCTAAAAATATAAGTAAATAATAATAAAATATATAAAATAATAAACTTTTAATAAAAGCTTTAGGCACCAGGTAGCCTAGGGTAAATTAAATAATAAATAATAAATTAAATAATTTATAAATTTAAGGGCTAGCTAGCGTGTTTACTAGCTTTTTTATAAATTATATAACTTTTTTATAATTAAAAAAGTAATAATAAATATTAAAGTATATAAAAGTTATTTTAAAAGTAAAAATAAGGCCTAGTTTATATAAAAAATATTATTAGCTAGTAATAATAAACTAATATATAATAATTTATTTAAAAATTTTAATTCCTAATATAAGGTAGATTACTTAATATAATAGTATATTAAATTTATTAAAGTATATATTTTAAATATTAATTTTCCCTGGAGAATTTAGTGCTAGTATAATATTATATATTTTAAAAAGTATAGTATTAGCCTAGTAGTTATAATAAGTATAATTAAGCCCTAAATATAAAGTTTTTAAGGTATAAGCTAGTAGGATTATAATAAGAATTATAATTTTAAATAATAATATTTTTTTTTATTAAAAAATAAAATTATTATAATAACCTATATATACTAAAAGTTAATAATATTATTTAATTACTTAATTTAAAATAGCCCTAGGGTTTTAAAAGCTGCTAGCTATATAATATAACTATGCTTTAAAGCCTAAAAAATATTAAATAAAGATTTTAATTAAAGTAATTAATAAGTTAATTATACTAGTAAGCTTATATTTTAATATTTAAAAATAAAATCTCCCGCGGGTAAATATAAAAAGCAGTAAAAATATTATTAAATTAGGCTAAAAATATATTAATTTTTAATATTATAATTAGGGTATTATACGGGACTAAGGTTAAATTTTAAAATAAAATAATATTATATTACTTTTGCCACAGGGTTAATTCCTAAAAATAAAAATAAAGTAATAATAAGCTAAAAATAAAAATTATTAAGCATAATTTTATAATACATAAGTTATTATAAGTTTAGTATAAAAAAGGCTAATCCTAGTATAAAAATTATTAAAAAACCTACTTATATAAGTTTAAAAAGGATCCCTAGTAAGGCTTTAAAGTATTTAAATATTTTAGGCCCTAGTAGCTTAATAAAACTATTTATTATTTATTTTTTAATAAAAATAAATTAAATATTAATAATACCTTTAGTCTTTTTTTTTAAATAAAATAATACTAAATATTAATATACTTACTTTTAATATAAAACTAGGGGTTACTAGCCAGCGCTATAATACCTTTATTATTTTTATAAATTATAATAATAATAAAATTTTTATTTTAGGTATTTATAAGCTTTTTTAGCAAGTAGTAAAGCTAAATAACCTTTTTAATAACTTATATTTTTTTATATACTTAGCTTTATAAAAAAATAAAGCC